GCTCGACGGCGGTCGGCCATCGAATCGGCCGATTCGGTTAAATCGATCATGAACGGTGATGCCCGACAAATAGCATTTTCAAGTCGACATATCCGCTAATCCGTGGCTCCTTCGTGTAAACATCCTAAACAAATTTTGTAGACTCATGTACCAGCTACAAATGTTGTTCAATGCACTTGTTCTAAATCGCAGCCGAAACAGAGAAAAAAATCGATCCAAAGTCGGGCTGACAGCACTGTCAGAGTATGACTTAGAACAAAAATGGCTAAGTGTTGAAAACAGTGATTCGATGATTTTTGAAATCCAAATTCAAGCATGTTAGGAGCTGAATCAGTCAATGACCCAAAAATAAAAGTTGTTCCTTATGTCAAACACTACAACATTGCTTTAGTGAACTCCTCCATGCAAGGTCTCTAACACCTAGTTCAACTTTATCAAACATGTCACTTTGCAATCATGATACATATTCAAACCATGGCTAAATGACCAAACTAGCCCTAGCCTTAAATACCAAAGTTGTTCATGATGATACTCTAAGCATGTTTAAACAATTTGCAAGGTCATTTAAGCATTTCATGTAGTAGTCACTCATATAGCTATCCAGGTCAACACAGGTAATATTACTTAAGTGCTTGATCATGAAAGGTGACCTTCATGAACAAGGTTCCTTTTGTTAACCTAAGTGTAGCTAAGGTGTTTTAGTGACCAACATTACCCACTTGCATTCATTTGCACATGATCATATGCATATGTTCCAAGAAACACGAGATAACAAGCAATGTTTCATATGTTTCGATCGAATGTTTCAATTGTAAATGATGACTTATGAATGCTTGATGCTCATGCTTATGTTATGCAAGTCAAGTTATGCAAGGCTAACACCCGAGGTGTTACACTTCTCGGCAAAGGCGGCCAGCACCTCCTCATCGACATTGGATGGCCTCCAGTTCAACATTGCGCTCCGGATTCACGAACGAATCTGTGAGTTCTCTTCTCCCTCGTTTTACTCTCTCTCTCCTAGAAACCGTCATGGCGCACGAATGGGCTTGGCGAAAAGGAAGAAGGAGGAGAGGCGGCAGTTGGAGAAAGGCAAAGGAATGGGAGAAAAAACCTCTCCCTTCCCCCTATTTAATATGAATAGGCATGCGGTGGGACACGTCCTGACTGATGGGACGTGCCCTAAAATGTCGTCTGGTTAAAACGGGACGTGGCCTGGGTAGGGCCCACCACTATCATAGCCCAGGAGCAGGAAACAAGGCGCAACCGCACGCAAAAAAACTTCGCCTTCCCATGCAGGATTTGGAAGGACCCACCAATAGGATCTCTGTCAAGGAAAGACCAATGGGCTATCTGAGTCGATCGGATGGCTCAGGCGACTGTCGAGAGACAGGTAAGGAGCGGTGGGATGCCCCATGAGGGCTATGCCAACTCCATCACAAATGACGGACACGAATCCCATTTGGACATATCCAATAAAGAGCTCAAACCCATCACTTGAGTCATCAAGGTAACTTTACCAAGACTTCTTACTTTATTTTCTAATGCATAAATCATTCATTCATCCTTTCTCATATACTCATTCACACATTCATCCATGCAGTCATTCATTCATCCCATACATCCAAATCATTGCATATGCAATTGATGCATCACAACGCTTTGTGTTGCGTCACAAAGCGATAGTTGCCTCATTCGTTATGAGCGACGACTGATCGGGGTTCGAAGGCTGGCCCGCGAAGTGCTCGAGGCCGCCTCACGTCAAACAAAGCTAGAGGAGAAAATGTAGATGAGCCCCAGCGGCCCTCACCCGATCTGCTCAGAAGCAGACAGGGTCATCTCGACCTTCCTGTTCGATCCTAACCTCAAGCCATGCCCACAGAATCTCCATCGAGGGGAGGCCGGTGGGCCACCTGAGTTGGTCTCCGGAATGGCTCAGGCATCGGTTGGGAGGCGAGTTAAGGAGCAGTGGAATGCCATATGAGGGCTATGCCAACCCCATTATAAACGACGGACCCAGATTCCACTCGGACATACCCGTTAGAGAGCTCACCGAGTGCATCACTCGAGCCATCGAGGCAAGTGACGTTAGCTCATCCCCTCCGGTTATGGAAGCCGCGGATGGGGTAACACATGAAACAAGACTAACCCCTCGGCTATGCTGGGCACTTGGGTCCGAGCACCGTCGCGCCTGACCCCCCAGCCGCGCCTGATGCTTGGGTTGGCACTCGACGCCAGGGTCCATGCTCCTGGGAATGATGGCTCAAGACCCGCTGGCAAGTCGAATAACCCCCCAAGCGATTCTACCCAAATCACCCGGGGGCTACAACCACCGGGTGCGCTCGCGCACACCCGCTGGCAAAGTCGAAACCCCCCAGGCCATTCTACCCGAATCGCCCGAGGGCTCGGGGGCTACACCCACCGGGTCTGCTCGCGCTCACCCGCTGGCAAGTCAAAAAATCCCCTAGGCAATTTCTAGGACCACCAAGGCTACACCTCTTGCCTGGCTCCGCTTCGACTGACCCCCGGGGGTATGCTCCGCCTTGGCCGACGTCTGAGGGCTAACTCTGCCTCATCCGACGTCCAAGGGCTGGCCCCGCCTTGGCTGACCCCCGAGGGTAGGCTCCGTCTCGGCCGATGTCTGAGGGCTGGCTCCACCTCGCCCGATGTCTAAGGGCTAACTCCGCCTTGCCCGATGTCCGAGGACTAGCCCCACCTCGGCTGACCCCCGAGGGTAGGCTCCGCCTCGCCCGATGTCTAAGGGCTGGCTCCGCCTCGTCCGATCCCTCGGACACAATTCCTGATGGAAGCTCACGTCGCCGCCAACCACTACGGGCCAGAATGTACAACCCCAGGTCAAACTTCTGGCATTGTGCAGGGAGCGGTCACGTCTCAGCACGATCCGTCTCCGCAACATGTCGCTCCAGGGGACTCACATCGACCCACAATGACGATGCATGGTCACTATGCTGTCTACTACCTGTACGACCGCTGATCAGCATGCTGGTTCGTCGGTCCAACGCCTAGGGCCGCGCTCCATCATGCCCGACGACGACTTGCAATCTTACACCCACCCATTGCTCTTGTACAACGAGTATAAACAACCCCTTCACAACTTTGCAGAAGTCTCAAAAGGACTTGGGGGCTCCTGTCGGGTTTATAAACCTAGGGTCCCCGATGGGCCCGCTTCCTAGCGAAAGCTCAGCCCAGCAGATGGCATTACGACAACACGCGACTCCTGGGCCGACCCAGATACCTAACGACAGGCTAGAAGAGCGATCCAGTTTCGACCGGAAGGCCTAGCGAAAGAGGGGATGACGCTCGCTTCCGACTCCGACCCCCTTTTCGACCGGGAATACGCCGAACCTACACTTACAACTTCCGACTGGGAATGACCGACCGGGGACGCCCGCTCGGTGAGGACCCAAGAATCAGGCGGAGCAGATAAGACAAGGCGCTCAAGTCAACCGCAATATCGAGGACCGTACCCTGCACACCTGTAGGACAGTACCGCCAGACCATGTCAGAAGGGTGCTCTACAACCTTCCAGGCATGTCAGAACCCAAATAGTGTTACGGACACCGACATTTGCCTTACAGTGTTGTGGGCGCCGTCATCTACCGTATCAGGCGAACACGATAAAGCTTGCCACATGCGTCTGACATAAACAGTATTGTAGGCGCCAACAACCGTCTTGTACCCGACAACGTGGGCAACAAGACTTAGTAGCATATGTGCACACACACTCTCTCTCACTTGTAAGGCCATCCCCTTCACCTATAAAAGGGGATGCGCTCTGTCCCAACAAAGAGAGGCCATTTTTCGACTCTCTCTCTGATAAGCTTTAGACATTTGGAGCATTTGAACAGCTCCACAGCTTTAGAACTCTAAAGCTACATAGAGCATACGTTCCAATACTTAGCGCACGTTGGAGCTCCCGTCACTCTTGGCCCTTTGGTTCAGAGTCCGATCGGATCTTTAACACCAACTTCTTATTCCCATTCGTTTGTAACCCCACAGCAAACTTCGAGTACCTGGGCTCAGGAATAAAGTCACCGACCGACTAGAACTGGACGTAGGGCACGTTACCTGAACCAGTATAAACCCTGTGTCATTGAATGGTATGCCACATCCGATCACAACGCACGGTAAAACTATAAATATGTATTTGTTGATCACTTTTCGCACCGACACTTATTCTTGTAGAGGGTACCAAATCGCCCATATCCATCACAATTTATGAAGAAAAGACTAAACCATGAGCCTTGGGCCATCCACATTGTGCATATAGTCTATCCACTTAAATATTGTGCTAATAGATGGACTAATTTTATAGTTAGTCCTCGAGTTTGTTATTAGCCCACTAGCCAGCAAATTCTAGGTAATTTAATCTTATTTTTAATCTCAGCTAATAACTAGACCTAACTGTTTGAATCAGACCCTTAACATAATAAGAAAATATAAAAATGTTCACCTTGAAAACTAAGGTGGCATTTCTCATAGCGTAGCAGGAAAAACGACATAAATGGATGGAAGTAAACTTGATAGTAGAAAATGGGAAAAGGTGAACAATACTAGTAAATAAAAAATTAATACGGCCCAATCTCCAATTTTTACCGAGAGGTTCCCACCGGCAGAGGAACATAGCAGCCCTCCACCCTCCACCCTATATAATCCCTAGTCCGTGCATCCGTCCGTCCCCATAGCCCCACCAGCAGGCACGAGTCGGTCCCACCTCGCAGCCCCCAACCCAAATCCCCTTCCGATTCCAAATGTCGTCCTCCTCCGAGCTCGTCCTCTACAACCTCGTCCCCGCCCCCCAAACCCTAAACCCTCCCGCACCACACGCCCCCCCCGCCGCCGATCTCTCCATCTCCACCGCGGTCGCGGAGGCGCCTGGGCCCGCCGCCCTCCGCGGCCGGGTTCGTCGCCCGGTGGGGTCCTCCTCCGGCGACCGCCACGCCAAGGTTGCCGGCCGCGGCCGCCGGGTCCGCATCCCGGCCATGGTGGCAGCGCGCGTCTTCCAGCTCACGCGCGAGCTCGGACACCGCACCGACGGGGAGACCATCGAGTGGTTGCTCCGCCAGGCCGAGCCCTCCATAATCGCCGCCACCGGCACCGGCGTCACCACCGAGGAGGCGCCCCCGCCTCTTGTCCCCGTCTCCTTCGTCGCGGCCACCGCGTCCATGACGCCGGTCCCGTACTACACCGCGCTCCTCATGCAACCGCCCACCGCCGTGGAGTCCCCTGCCGCCTCTGCATCCGTCTCTGGCACTGCTGCGGAGGAGAATAATAACTAGGCTAGGTGGAAGGGGATTATCAAATGGCAGTTACTATGCTTAGGGCTCTAAGGTTAGTTAGTTAGTAGCTTAGGGTTTATTATGTGTGCTCTGTGGTCATGGCCTACACCTCAATCATTAACTTATTACCTTGGGGAAGGATTGTGGGTGATTTAGGTAGCAAAACTGATTGAGATGGTAACAATAGAAGAGGGGAAATGGTATCTTTCAAAGTGGTTGATGAGTTCTGCTGATGTTTCAAACGGAGTCTAATCTCTTGTGAATCGTCTAGTGTTGCTGATTTCTATATCTTGGTGCTTCAGTCCGTGTGTAAATGTTCTTTTTCGCTGTGTGTATGTATGTAGTTGAGCAATTGTCTTTTTGTTATTTGCCTTTATTAGCAACTGGATTTAGTTATGCAGCATAGGAATTCGCCATGATTGGTTCATGCTGTACCGACGGCCAGGTGGTAACTGAAGATGGAAAGCTACCAAGTTATCTTTCTGCTTGCTTTCATGATGTTACTGTCTGTTTCTGCGTTTTCTGAATTCTGCTACAAAAAAGAGATAATAGCTACAGTTAGTTTGCTTGTGCTTTGGTAGCAAGGCCATATGTGTTTCATGATCGTATTTTGTTGCACCTGGCGAAAGGGTGGTACTCATGGAAAATGCGTGTTTGCACATATAGTTTATTTGTTTGGATGTCAGGTCAAATGCCTGTACTTGTCTTGTATGGAGGAATCTTCATAGATTGCTGCACAATCAGTTACCAACTAACAAGTGTGTATTTGATGTTAGTATTCTGTTAGCTATTTACATTTACCCTACATTTTTGTCACATATGTACATGCCAGGCAGAAGTTTTTGCTGTCATGATTTCACTTTCTGCAGTTTGACCATATACCAGCTCTGCGCGAGGTGTGCCCTGAAGATCCAGCTGGTATCTTGATGTGCATACTTGTGCAGCTTTGTGTGATTTGGACTTGCCAGTACGTCTCTAAATATATTCAGGTACGGATAATCGGATGCTATATTAAACTATGCTCCTTTGGGAACTAGCTTCTAATGCTGTGGTGCATGAACTTACTAATTCTGGCACGTCTTTGGAAGTTTGCCTGTCATCTGCCAGATAGCGATTTGTATAGCTTGCATGTTATCGAGATAATGCTTTTCAAATAAAGGAACTAATTTGTTGACTGGATCTTTCTATGGTGTTACCAGAACTGTCATGATGCTGCAGCCAAAAGTTCTTGTCTGTAATGCCATGCCATGCAGTATATATATATCAGAACTTTGATATTCTAGTATGACACTTTGACATCCCCCCCTCTCAAATATGTGGCTTGTATGGATTTTTTCCTGGTATTGTTTTGTATGTAATTTCTTCAAAGACTCAGCTTCAAGTTCACAAGTTATGGTTGGCAGGGTCTTCTAGACATTTACCATTATTTGGTAATGTTGTTATTTTATATTATTAAATAGAGTTAGGAATTCTACTCAAAGGTGGTATGTGATGAGGAACTGGTGGTAGTGGGTTGGAAAGCTACCAACTTGCCTTTTGCTTGCTGTCCTTGTGTTATTGCTTGCTTGCTTGTTTGTCTTCTAAAATCGAATAAGTGCAGGAAATGGAGGTTTGACTGCAGTTTTTCTTCTGGATTGGCTTCGGCAGCCTGGTCATATATGCTATATGGTTGTATTTTGTTGCATCTGAGAAAGGGTAGCATTAATGGAAAATGATTGTTTGCATATTCACTTTGTTTCTTTGAATGTCAGGTCAAATGCCTATACTTGTCTGTAAAGGAGGAAACTTTACATAAATATCTTCAGTCGGTTATCAGTTGGAAAAATGGGTGTCTTTCCACTGTAAGTAAGCTACCATCCTCCAGTTGCAAATATTGGAATCATATCAATTACATGCACAACTGAAAGTATTAGTGTGTAATGATTGTGTCACTTCTGCAATTTGGCCATATAATAGCTTTACATGATGTGTGCCCTTAAGATCAACTAGTATCTGGACATGAATCTTGTGCGGCTTAATGTGATTTTGACTCCAAAATGGCTTAGAATATTCTGGTATCGATGATTTGATGTTATGTCTAGTTATGGTCCTTTTGGGACTGACATCTACTATAGTGGCACATGATTTTTCTTTTCATCTGGTCTTTGAAATCTCTAGGCCTGTTCATTTAGCTAGGGTGTGTTTGGTTGGCTCATCCCTTTCATCCTGGCTGGGTGGATCTATATAATCTGAGAATGAAGCCTGTTTGGTTGTCTGCTGAGTGGATTCAACCTCCATGACGACGACGACGACAACAACAACAACAAAGCCTTTAAGTCCCAAACAAGTTGGGGTAGGCTAGAGTTGAAACCCCGCAGAAGCAATCAAGGTTCAGCCACGTGAATAGCTGTTTTCCAAGCACTCCTATCTAAGGCTAAGTCTTTGGGTATATTCCATCCTTTCAAGTCTCCTTTTATTGCCTCTATCTAAGTCAACTTCGGTCTTCCTCTATCTCTCTTCACGTTACTATCCTGGCTTAGGATTCCACTACGGACCGGTGCCTCTGGAGGTCTCCGTTGGACATGTCCAAACCATCTCAACCGGTGTTGGACAAGTTTTTCTTCAATTGGTGCTACCCCTAATCTATCACGTATATTATCGTTCCGAACTCGATCCGTTCTTGTATGACCGCAAATCCAACGCAACATACGTATTTCCGCGACACTTATCTGTTGAACATGTCGTCTTTTCGTAGGCCAACATTCTGCACCATACAACATAGCAGGTCTAATCGCCGTCCTATAAAACTTGCCTTTTAGCTTCTGTGGTATCCTTTTGTCACATAGGACACCAGATGCTTGGCGTCACTTCATCCACCCTGCTTTGATTCTATGGCTAATATCTTCATCAATATCCTCGTCTCTCTATAGCATTGATCCTAAATATAGAAATGTATTCTTCCTAGCCACTACTTGACCTTCCAAACTAATATCTTCCTTCTCTCGAGTAGTAGTGCCGAAGTCACATCTCATATACTCAGTTTTAGTTCTATTGAGTCTAAAACCTTTGGACTCCAAAGTCTCCCGCCATAACTCTAGTTTCTGATTCACTCATGTCCAGCTTTCATCAACTAGCACTACATCACCCGCGAAAAGCATATACCAAGGGATGTCCCCTTGTATGTCCCTTGTGACCTCATCCATCACTAAGGCAAACAGATAAGGGCTCAAAGTTGACCCTTGATGTAGTCCTATCCTAATTGGGAAGTCATCCGTGTCTCCATCACTTGTTCGAACACTAGTAACAACATTGTTGTACATGTCCTTAATGAGCCCGACGTACTTCGTTGAGACTTTATGTTTGTCCAATGCCCACCACATAACATTCCTTGGTATTTTATCATAAGCCTTCTCCAAGTCAATAATAAACATGTGTAGGTTCTTCTTTTTCTCCCTATACCGCTCCATAACTTGTCTTATTAAGAAAATGGCTTACATGGTTGACCTTCCGGGCATGAAACCAAATTGGTTCATAGAGACCCGCGTTATTGCTCTCAAGCGATGCTTGATAACTCTCTCCCATAGCTTCATAGTATGGCTCATCAACTTAATTCCCCGGTAATTAGTACAACTTTGAATATCCCCTTTATTCTTGTAGATCGGTACCAATATACTTCTCCACTTATCAGGCATCTTGTTCGATTGAAAAATATGGTTGAACAACTTGGTTAGCCATACTATAGCTATGTTCCCGAGGCATCTCCACACCTCGATTGGGATACCATCCGGTCCCATCGCCTTACCTCCTTTCATCCTTTTCAACGTCTCTGACCTTAGATTCTGGGATTCTCCGCACAAAGCGCCTATTGGTGTCATCAAAAGAGTCATCCAACTGAAAGGTTGTGTCCGTATTCTCACCATTGAACAATTTGTCAAAATACTTTTGCCATCGATGTCGGATCTCATCCTCCTTCACCAAGAGATGCTCCCTTTCATCCTTAAAGCACTTAACTTGGTTGAAGTCCCTTGTCTTTCTCTCATGAATCCTAGTCATCCTATAAATGTTCTTCTCTTCTTTCTTCGTACTCAAATGTTGGTAAAGATCCTCGTACGCTCTACCCTTTGCCACACTTACAACTCGTTTTGCAGTCTTCTTTGTCACCTTGTACTTTTTTATGTTGTCCACACTCCTATCATGGTACAAGAATCTATAACATTCTTTCTTCTCCTTAATAGCCTTTTGGACTTCCTCGTTCCACCACCAAGTATCTTTAGCCTCGCCTCCACTTCTTTTGGTTACTCCACACACCTCTGGGGCCACCTTCCGAATGTTGGTTGCCATCTTCTCCCACATGTTGTTTATGTCCTCTTCTTCCTTCCAAGAGCCCTTTTTGATAACCCTTTCCCTGAATACCTCTGACGTCTCCCCTTTTAGTTTCCACCACTTTGTTCTTTCAGTCTTAGCTTGTTTATCCCTACGGGTACGCACCTGAAAACGAAAGTCTGCCATCAAAAGCTTATGTTGAGAAACAACACACTCCCCTGGTATCACCTTGCAACCCAAGCATGCTTGTTTGTCCTTTCTTCTTGCGAGGACAAAGTCAATCTGGCTAGAGTGTTGTCCGCTACTGAAGGTCACTAGATGAGATTCCCTCTTTCTAAAGAAAGTGTTGGCTATCATCAGGTCAAAAGCTACCACGAAGTCCAGAACTTTCTCCCTCTCCTGGTTCCTACTACCATACCCAAAACCTCCATAAACTGCCTCGAAACCTGCGCTTGTAGTACCTACATGCCCATTAAGATGTCCTCCTATAAAAAGTTTCTCACTGCTAGGTACAACTCTAATTAGGCCATCTAAGTTTTCTCAGAACTCTCTTAGCACTCTCGTCGAGGTCTACTTGGGGGGCATACGCACTAATTACGTTCAAGACCATATCACCAACGACAAGCTTGACTAAGATAATCCTATCTCCTTGCCTTCTCACTCCCACCACACCATTCTTGAGGCTCTTATCAATCAAA